GGGATTTATTGGGGTTGAAAAGTAGTCTTATTTTCGAAGTCTTCATGTACTACGAAGCAATTAATCATATCGGTGAGAGAGACCCAGAAGGCCCTCAGGTAAGTCACTGAAACCTTTCTAGAAAATTGAGGTGATTAGACCTCTACAGGACTTCCCTTTGTATACCTGATTATTATACATGACCTCGAATGTTTACTACCCAAGTATTTATTTTTGAGGAATTAGAGTGGAGTCATCTATAAAGTGCCTTTACCCAAGCAGCAAGCTGTCAATGATAGCAGCCACGTAGATGATTATGTGACATGATGTAGGAGAACACTGAGACGCGCTAGCAGGTGCTCAGTGATTTTCAGTGATGGCAAAATGATTGAGGACAATACTGGAAATAAAAGGAAAGAAATGCCATTGAACACACATTTGTCTAAAAGTTACAGAAAATTTATAAACTAGGCTGTAATAAAAAATATTTATTACACATCATTCAAAATGTGGACAGTCCAGGATAAGATAAAAAGGTACAATGTTTTAAGACATTATAAGGTGTTTTTTTCACTTATTTTACTCTTGTTGCTATGTTTGTAGGGATTTTGGAGAGAAATGGTAGTAGCCTAATATTATATTTGACTTAAGTTTCTGGAAGTTCAGCCTCAACAGTGGTGGATTCCAAGTGCCAAGTCTGAGCTGTGTCAGATTGAGGATTAGGGTCAGGTGCCTGCTAATGGCTGCCAGCGAGGCTCAGTGCTGTGGCATGGGGGGTGTCTGACCTTGCTTCTTTACTGGCCAAATCCTCTATGACGTGGGTTGAAGGGCAGAACTTAGTATGTTTAATTTACTTGTTTATCTTCCCTATTAAGGACAGGACGAAGGTAATAGTTATCATCTTATTATCAGGGTATGGCGCAAAGTAGATTCTAGGTAAATTTGTCAGATGATTGAGTGTAGTTTATCCCCATCCAGGTTTGCTATCCTCAAAATAATTTCTGAGTAAGCACAACGGAGCTACTGTTTGTCATAGTTCCCAAATTTATTTCAATCTTTTTTGCCTACATTGTTTTCAAATACTATCTAATTGTTTTGTATTCTGAACTTAGGGGCTACTGTTAATTTGCACAGTGGCTTCAAATCAAATGCTATATCCCATATCTTGCATTGACTTAGAGTTATTCAATGCTAACGTCTAAATCGGAGAAGTGAAAAGGACAATTGTTTAGTGTTTTTTTAAGTCCCTGACCAAGATCAGTAGGGAAATCCCATTAGCTCCATTCATCGCATTTCTCATAAATCTAAAAGGAAAGCAAGTATCCAAAGCTTTATTCTTTAATAGTTCTTATTTGTAAAACCTTGACAGGGCTTTATTCTAAATTGCTTCCAAATTACATAAAGAATACTGAGAAATATGATGGGCAGTGAATCGTGATAGTTTCAGTCATCGAATAAATAAGTAGAACAGTAAAAGGGGACTAATCTGAAAGCAAACAGAGTATGATGGGTTACGATGAGGCAAAAAGAACAGAACTGTGGAATTCTTAAACCATCTGGCTCAATCCTCTTTAAGAGGGCAAGTTGAAGAGCCTTTTATTCAGTGCCCCAGAACTTATTCAAAAGGCACAGTATTTGAATATTAATATTTCCATATAGTTAAAAAAAACTCTTTTGTAACCAAAAAGGAATGTTTAACTAAATAATGGGTAATCCTCTGGCTAAACATGAAGGCGTGGGGAGCACCCTGTGGGTGGGAGGTCTGCTCAGGGGCTGGGTGGCTGCTGGTAGGCTTCAGGCCTTCACCTCCATGGCTTCTTTGTGGTTAGAGTGACTTATTAAAGTTTTCACTGTGGTTTGAAATTTAGGCAAGAGATGTAAAATTAAGGAATTCATTAGGAAAAGTGAACAGTGATTCGTAGTACCTTACTTCATCAAAAAGAAATAATAAGGAAGAATTGCCATAGAGGATAATTGAGGCAAGGAACACAATAGAAATTCTAATCTATACTTGAAATTGTGCTTTTGTGGAACGTGATCCTGTTTTGTCACTTTACATCAGACCCCTGACAATTGCCGTTTTGTTTATTAAGCCCTAGATTTTTAAAGGAAACTATAGGAGGCTTTTACTTTGTTTTCCTGAGAAGGTGTGTTGGAAAAGTATAAGTGGAAAAAATAAGAGTGTATTACTTATCTTCAGCAAAGATGCTTAAAAAAGGTATTTTAGCACTCTCTGTGGTTTAAAAGACAAAACCAAGTCCTGCCGGCTTTGTGTTGTGCTTCTCTTACAGGCTGCAGTGCCTTCTGTCTGCTTTAGGGTGTGGCATCTGCCACTGGGGAGGAAAAACTGGCATGTGTCGCCTTTTATAGCAGACTGATTTCATTGTGCCGGGGGCCTGTATTTTATAGCCTCTTAGTTCCAATCTTCTAGTTGACTTGCTGAAGCAAATGGAATTAAAAGAGATTTTGACTTATATACCTAGTTTTTTGTTTTTAAGTTTCCTGATTTTCTGATGTGAAAAAAATATTTTTAAGAAAAGGGCCATAGCTGAACTTGGTGACTCATTTTCCCTTTTAGGACTAGTTGTGAAAATAAGCTACGACATATGGCTACACTTGTATGAATTGACTTTGATATATTTTATCAATTTGAAAAAATGCACTTTTATGATTATGTGTATATATTTAGTTTGACTATAAATGTCTAAAAGCATAAATATGTAATTGATTTTAGAATATATGTATATAGACACATACACAAAACAGACGTATATTTATATTTGCATATGAAAAACTTTAAAAATTCAACTTATGTGGTGTAATGTGTATAATTAGTATGTATTTGAATATATAAAGGGAGAAAATCCAGGAAAAAAATGTCAAAAAGGCACACTAACAAAGATGTAGTATTCTCTTGGCAAAAACTGATGAATGATTTGGCACAAATTCATCTTACGGTTCTGTTATTCTCTCTTACACATGATGATATACCCCTGGTTTTCCAGTTGTTTGCACAGAATTGCAATTTGTTGTTTCTACACTCTATAATGACCCTTGGGTGTGCACCTGGCTCCCCCACCTCCAATTAGTCACCAGTTTTGCAGTCTACCCTTTTCTATTTAGTCATATAACGTATTTATACTTGGTCAAGCAAACAACCACTGCAGATGAAATTAACTAAAATAGTTCCTATGAAAAGGTAAAGAATGAAATAATTTTCGAAAACTAAATTCTACTAAAATCATGTATTTCTGCTGGTGTAACCTCTGGAAAACCCTGGTTTCAAATGTTTTCTCTCATTGAAAACTGAGTCCACACTAGTACAAATGAGCCATTGCTTAAGGTAAAGAAGCCTTGCTATTAAAGATATTCAAAATTATCTTGGTGATAAATTCATAATAAAAATATTTAAAACTCTACGAAATGAGAAAACAGATACAATTTTTTAGAGAACATTTCTGCTTTAGGATTAGAGTTGTTTATTTTATATTATTATTGATCTTATATTAACTATAATGTCTATTTTAGTTTTGTTTCACATTACTTAGAAATGAACTCATATCAAGAGGGTTAACTGTGCATATTAACCTCTGAAATATGATGCAAGGTGTCACATGGATTTATGAAGATATGAGATAAACCTTAACTGTCGCTATTTTAGCACCAATAGTTAAATTTTCACGTGAAAGTTGTTTGGAACATAACATACTACTCTACATATTTGAGAGAGGACATCCAAGTGCTTTGCAAGGAAAATGCTCCTTTGGGAATACTTCAAGTTCTCGTTGATAAGCCTACATACATATTTAAGGTGCCTTAAAAAAGTTATATAAACATTATCTTTGGCGCAGGTGCAGTTATTAATCATAAGCATTTATTGAGTACCTGTTGTGTACAGGTCACAGAGCTCTTTGAATGAGGCTAACCTTCACTTAAGAAGCTTTCCTAATTTTGCAGTTGGAAGAAGTTGTGGGAATTGCGCTGATGGCCCGAAATCAAGGCAGGGAGGCTAACGTTCTGAAAAATTACATAACTCCTGGGAGAGACAGTGCTTTTGCACAGACTGCCTAAATATTTTCCTTCTCCGTCGGCTCCATGTAACCTCTGAGGCCAACAGACAACTTTGTTCCCCAGTCTTTCTCTCTCTTTTGTCTGCTCGTCAGACTCGTTTTCCACCTTTGTATCGTTCCTTTTAGACGTGAAAACAAACACACGAACGCCCGGTTGGCAAGGAGACAGAGGCACGAGGGGAAAGTGCAGCCTCCGGCCGCCCCAAGCCGCCGCGCTCCGAGCGCCGCCGAGCCTGCCCCAGGCCCAGGCCCAGGCCCAGGCCCAGGCCCCGGGCCCGGGCCCGGCCGGGCCCCGCCAGGCTGCGCTGGGGCTGGCGGCGGCGGCCCGGGGACGAGTCCAGTCCGCGTTTTGCGAGTGCACAGGAGTAATCAGAGAGAAGTGGATAATAGTTGCTCGAGCTTGCTCGGCTCCCTCTCATGCCATGCTGGGCCCGATAGGCTCAGCCAGTCGTGTATTTACCCATATCCGGGTTAGAGAGGAAAAGAGAAAAGTTTCATTTAAACCTGAGCTAAAAACTTTCACCATGAAAGCACACAGCGGGAACAGGCCCAGACCGTAAGGCGTGCCCCCGGCCCGGCTCTCCGGCGGGGCCTGCGGAGGGGGAGGGGGTCGGCGGCTTCCCGGCGGGCCGCGTGGATGCGCACAGGAGGGGCCGCGGACTAAAAAGTGGGGGTTATTGTCTCCCCCCGCCCCCCGCCCGGCCTCGCCACGCCGCGGCGATCATGGCCGCACGGGCAGCAGCGGCGGCGGCGGCGGCGGCGGCGCGGGCGCGGGCAGGCAGCGGCGAGCGGCGGGCGCCCCCCGGGCCGCGGCCGGCGCCCGGGGCCCGGGACCTGGAGGCGGGGGCGCGCGTAGCGGCGGCGGCACCGGGACCCATGCTGGGGGGCGGCGGCGACGGCGGCCTGAATAGTGTGCACCACCACCCCCTGCACCCCCGTCACGAACTGAACATGGCCCATAACGCGAGCGCCGCGGCCGCCGCCGCCAGCACTAACAGCGCCAAGAGCGGCGGCTCCGAGGCGGCTCTCAAGGAGGGTGGAAGCGCCGCCGCGCTGTCCTCCTCCTCCTCCTCCTCCTCCGCGGCGGCGTCCTCTTCTTCCTCCTCGTCGGGCCCGGGCTCGGCCATGGAGACGGGGCTGCTCCCCAACCACAAACTGAAAACCGTTGGCGAAGCCCCCGCCGCACCGCCCCACCAGCAGCACCACCACCACCACCATGCCCACCACCACCACCACCATGCCCACCACCTCCACCACCACCACGCACTACAGCAGCAGCTAAACCAGTTCCAGCAGCAGCAGCAGCAACAGCAGCAGCAGCAGCAACATCCCATTTCCAATAACAACAGCCTGGGCGGCGCGGGCGGCGGCGCGCCTCAGCCCGGCCCCGACATGGAGCAGCCGCAACATGGAGGCGCCAAGGACAGTGCCGCGGGCAGCCAGGCCGACCCCCCGGGCCAGCCGCTGCTGAGCAAGCCGGGCGACGAGGACGACGCGCCGCCCAAGATGGGGGAACCGGCGGGCGGCCGCTACGAGCACCTGGGCCTGGGCGCCCTGGGCACGCAGCAGCCGCCGGTCGCCGTGCCCGGGGGCGGCGGCGGCCCGGCGGCCGTCTCGGAGTTTAATAATTACTATGGCAGCGCTGCCCCTGCTAGCGGCGGCCCCGGCGGCCGCGCTGGGCCTTGCTTTGATCAACATGGCGGACAACAAAGCCCCGGGATGGGGATGATGCACTCCGCCTCAGCCGCCGCCGGGGCCCCCAGCAGCATGGACCCCCTGCAGAACTCCCACGAAGGGTACCCCAACAGCCAGTACAACCATTATCCGGGCTACAGCCGGCCCGGCGCGGGCGGCGGCGGCGGCGGCGGAGGAGGAGGAGGCAGCGGAGGAGGAGGAGGAGGAGGAGGAGGAGCAGGAGCAGGAGCAGGAGGAGCAGGAGCGGGAGCTGTGGCGGCGGCGGCCGCGGCGGCGGCAGCAGCAGCAGCAGGAGGCGGCGGCGGCTATGGGGGCTCGTCCTCGGGGTACGGGGTGCTGAGCTCCCCCCGGCAGCAGGGCGGCGGCATGATGATGGGCCCCGGGGGCGGCGGGGCCGCGAGCCTCAGCAAGGCGGCCGCCGGCGCGGCGGCGGGGGGCTTCCAGCGCTTCGCCGGGCAGAACCAGCACCCGTCGGGGGCCACCCCGACCCTCAACCAGCTGCTCACCTCGCCCAGCCCCATGATGCGGAGCTACGGCGGCAGCTACCCCGACTACAGCAGCCCCAGCGCGCCGCCGCCGCCGCCGTCGCAGCCCCAGTCCCAGGCGGCGGCGGCGGGGGCGGCGGCGGGCGGCCAGCAGGCGGCCGCGGGCATGGGCTTGGGCAAGGACATGGGCGCCCAGTACGCCGCTGCCAGCCCGGCCTGGGCGGCCGCGCAACAAAGGAGTCACCCGGCGATGAGCCCCGGCACCCCCGGACCGACCATGGGCAGATCCCAGGTAAGCCCCGCGCCGGCCGGGCCTGCTTCCGCCCGGCGGCCTCCCCGCGCCACGAGCCTGAGTTTCTTTCTTTGCCGTGTACTTTTCCCCTTCTTCTCGCGGGGGCGGTGGGGGCGCGGCGCCCAAAGCCATTTTGACTGGCGGCCGCTTCGCGCAGAGGTCGGGGCGCACCCCGCGCCGGCCGCGCTGTCCAGGCCGAGGAGGGCTCCGTGGGGCCGGGCCGGCGGCCTGCGCTCTCGGGCGGCCCGCACCCTCGCCCCCACCCCATCCCCCAGGCCCTAGAACGCGAGGCGAGGTTCCAGGGCGCCACCCGCGAGGAAGCCGTTGGGGCGGTGGGGACGACTCGGGTGCTTTTGTAACAAAATAGGCTCTCCCGGCCAGAACGGCCGGGGGCGAATATTGACCAGATCGGCTCTGGTAGCGCCAACAATGTGCTTTAACCTGGGAAAGAATGAGGAACTTTCTCCCACCTTAGCCACAGTACGTTCCCTCTTAGCTTCCAAGGTACACGCAGGGAAAATAGGTTAGCTTTGTGACAACCGAGCGGGTTTTTCGTAGTTATGTAGAGCCATTCGGAGATACTCTATGCGGGCTTCGAGTTCGAATGTTTACTAGCAGGAATAATACCAAAACTTACAACGACGTGGAGGTAAAATATTCTAAAATGTATTGATTCGTTCCTAAGAATAGCCGGGGAAATCCATTATTGGGCTTACGGGCTGCTTGAAAGGAGTCACCTTCAGCAGAGAGGCTGTGTTAAAGGAACACACTCCGGATCAATTGAACTTATTTTGATCGTGGATTAGGCATACATTTTATTCAGCAAATCCAGTAAAATAGCAGACCATTGGAAATGGATCTTTGGGATCGTATTTATTTGGATTTTCTTTATTTTGCTGTCATCCAAATCCTACACTGCTATTAGGAAGTGTCCTTCACTCTTGCTGTTTCTTGCTAGTAGGCTGAGCCTAAAGACTGACTTGATCTCCTTTGCAAGGTTTGGAATTTGAATTGTGGAGGTAAACTGGCTGTAATAGTCTCCAGACAGCTGCCTCTGAGTTGACATCTAATCTGCCATCTGATTGGCTCCCCTCTCACCATTGGGCATTTAGCACTGCTGATGTAAATAGAAGTGCTGAGCAGTACAGTCACAAAAATTCTTGCCACAAATAATAACTGAGCTCTATTACAAGCAGATGTAAGCTTCAATATTATTTAAGGCTTAAATTTTTATGAATCATAGTTATTAATAAGAGGATTACAGAAAAACATTACGCTGGTGTCTAGTATTGGGCACTTACAAAATTCAGATCTTTGATGACGCTGTTACAATATGCACATTACATATACCAGGGACTTTAATTGTGGGTTGAAATAAGACCATTGAAAAAAGTAAACCACTAGTTTTACCAATTTTTGGATTTGTAAAGCTTTTGTAAAAGTCTATCCTTCACAAATTCAACTGTGAAAAAATTTGAATTGTTTCAGCACACACAGTTTAACGTTAAAAATTTCAAGATTTTGATGTGCAGAAATATCTTTTGGTGATATTTATTTAGGCTTATCAACAAAATTTAAGCTATATTTCTAGTGATTTGTGTTTAACAATTCTGATCATTTAAGATATTTGTGGATAAGGAGTTTTAGATAGAATTGGCATATTTTAAAAACACGAAATGAGAAAACCACATAATATTTTTTCCAGAGAACAACTAGGTAAAATGGGAAAAAAAATGGATATTCCTGTGAAATACTAAAAACCGTTTTATATTTGCATTTGATTTGGAAAATACAGAAATGCCCCAAGAATCTTTTTCTCTTTGATTATTTTGTTGAATTAGGTAATATGAGCCTTATTTGAACTGTTTACACAATGAATTAGGGAAACTATGTTATAAGCAAGTTGTGCTGGGTGTGTTTCTTCTCCAAAATTTTTCTTTCATAGATATCTTAATGCTATGAAAGTTTAAAAAATCTAATCTGTTAGAAGGGAATAACAGTGGTTGTATGTATATTCTTATTTAGTTCATTTATTTTTAGGAAGATGTATTTTAGTAATAATATCTTGTCAGAGTGAATGAAGGGCTGAATTTAACAAATAATAGTGTGAATCCTAGGCTGAACGTTGGTGCCCACGGCTTTTAAATCTTTACTTAGTGGAATTTTACTTTTAAGGATAATATATTTTTCTAGTCTTGATAGAAAACGGGCAATTTTCAATTTTTCTTTTTGCTTCACACAACTGAAAACATTATAGAGAAGCCCGTGTAAATAAACCCACATAATTAATTTTAAAAAGATTTGTTTTGTCAGCTTGCTATTAAAGGGGCAGTTTAAAATTCACATCTTTATAAATTAGAAACGAATGAAGTTAGAGGCAGATGTAGGTCCATGTTAGAGTATTAGTTTTTAATGGTACCAATCATTTTAAGTATTTTGTTTTCTTGGAATGAGAGTGAATCCATTATGTCCTCAGCATGACCCCTGGGAATACTTTTTTTTTTTTTTGAGGGGGGGGGAATGACAGACATATGACCTAGATTCATGAATTTCTTTTAGGTAGTTTACTGTATAACATGTGGAATGTGTCTTTTTTACACTCGTTATTTCCTTTTCTTTTTGGAAGGCTATTATTTAGTAGTAGTTACAATTATACTAAGAAACAGTCATTTGTCCAAAATATTGAATTACTGCCTGACTATATAGGTCAAAAAATACTATTAAATCACATTGTTAAATGATGAAATATTTTTGGCTCTTAATACATTTAGTTTCATTTTTGATTTTAGGAAATGGTTTCTATTGGGTGGCAAATATTTTCATAACTGGGAACAAAACATGTATATATTGTGGGGGAAGAGTTTTTAAAAAGTGAAATAAGCCATTTTACGATTCAGTTTGTTACTAGATTTTTGTGAGATAAGTATTCAGATAGCAGTCTCAAAAGGAATATTTAGGTCTATTCACGTAAGACTTTATGATGTACACATTTGTACTGAATTCCATTAATGGTATTTTAACTTTAGTTTTATAGAACATAATGCAATGTAATAGAAAAGAGCATTATTTACCCTTAAAAGAAAAGCAATTAGCTAGCTTACAAAGCAGGAAGCTACAAAACTGATTCTTGATTACTTAAAATGTGTATGAGATACATCGTATCATAACATCACTCCCACTGAAATCTTAGGCTATCTGATATTTTAAATCTTGTAAAGAAATTTTTGTAGCCAAAATTTATATATTTGCCAAGGTTATGGATGGCTGTATATAGTTAGAAGAGGTGGACTTGGTAACTGTGGTTCATAGAAAAGGCCTATCATTTAAAAAACAGAAAAAGAGAACATGACAAAAATGTCTGCAGTTTTCTGTTTTCTAAGTCATCTGGGATGAAATTAGGCATGGCTTAAAATTGTTTTCATTGGGAATCCTGATTTTTGTAGTGCTTACTTTTGCTAATTTTTTGTTTTTTTAATTGTAACCATTAATACAGCTATCAATTAAATTTATGTTTATATTAATACTATAGCAATAAGAACATTCTAGAGAATTAACGTATTCTTATCTTGGGTCCATAATGAGAAACCTTAACCTCTCTTTTTTTCCTTTGGTTCTGTTTCTCTATATTTAGCAATGAATTTTTGGCAAGGCTTTTTATACTTGCTCCATTTTTCTCAACGTCATACTGTATCAGAAGTGTGTTCTGAATGTGGAAATAATGCAGATCACACTTGGACATCTTTAATAATGTACTTAACCTCTAAATATCGTGTTCCTTTATTAGAGTTGAAGAGAATAACATTTTCACTCAAGTATAAAAAAAGCGTTAATTTTGGTTTGAGATCTGATTTTAAAAATATATGACAATGTAGAGGAAGACTCAATATAAACTCATTTGATAGTTTTATTAGACACAGACACCTTTTAAGGAAAACAGGTGTAATAAAATGGGATTGAGTTTTCAGTTCTATTTCTTACTAATGGACTTTATTTCTTTATAATTTGGCACAGGTTGTATCTGAAGAGATGACTTCTGATTTAATAGGAACACTTATTACCCTAAGACAAATACCAATATCACAGGCAAACCAAAAAGATGATCATTTCATTTATTTAACCCTGCCCTTTCCTAGGATGAGAGTGGTTTGATTTAAAATTTGTTAGGATTCCATGAAATTTTTCTACTTATTTTGAAGACTGGCCAGGGATGTAAGTTTTGGATATGTCGATAGAGGAAACTATATTAGCTTTTTGCTGGTGTCCTAAATCTAGAGGCTTTTCTTGCTGCTCTGCACTGGACTGACACTGCTCAGCTCATGGACCTGTGTGCTTTGATCCATGTTTGTGCACAGGGACTGATATTTCACTCATGTCACTTTCATTTTGGGGTGTATGTAGATTTGTACATTTGAGATTGATATTTATGTTTGATGGAACTGTGGTGTTACTTAAAACAACAGATTTATGGAGGCAACATGAATGTTAATAAAATTCAATTCCATTAGTTTTCTTGCAATATTTAGATTTTCAAAATGGATGTTATGAAATTTTTATGACATTTTACAATGCTGTTTATATTTAAGGGGCTGTATCTACCTCTTAGGCCTTTTTGAAATTGGGTAATTTTTGGTTGCTTGCCTTTTCAGAGGTATTGTTTCTTGAACAGGAGGTTTTTGCAGATTCTCTGTGGATATGTAAAGTAGTGCTGCACACTCGCTGTGTATGCATGCTTGAGCCTGAGGAATCCTAAGTTCTAGTTCCTTGTGTGGGGGAGAAGACCCAGCAAAACTGTTGGTCTACAAAGAATGTATTTATATATCATAGATGCAGGACTATTATAAGGTATTGTTTTTTCCAGTTTGGTGGCTATTTTCATAAGACTAAGTGGTCCTTTCAGGTTTAATTGGGTGATTGAGTGAATTCTGATCTAAAAACTTGGTATACTTTAGTGACTTTTTCTCTTAGAAATTTGATGAAAAGAAAATGATTTAGATATCATT